GGGGGCATGCCTTACGGGTGAGTCGAGCTAATCGGAGAGGAAGAGAAGGGGCAAGGGGGGTGGATAAAAGAAAGGCAGCGGGGGTGGCAGTGCCAGCTCGAAAGGCAAAGTGAGGGCCTCATATCGGGGCAGGAGCGCCGCCGCCGCCAGCGCACCTTCATGGTGAGATAGTTATCCACCGAGGGGCAGGCATACATCCAGAGGCTGTAGGTGGAGGGCTCACTGGAGGTGTCGGGCGTGGTGCCGCGGAAAAAGAGGTTGTCATCATGGAGGAGCGAGTGCACTTGGCACTTGAAGGGTTCCGGCGCCGAGGGGTCCTGCGGACGGGTGGAGCTGGCACAAATGTCTGCCAGGCCGGAGGTGAGCTTCGCAGAGGCAACAGGGCGAGGGAGGGGTCAGTTGGGGGAGGGGGGAATGTCCAACATGGCGGCCCCAGGGCCGGGGAGAAGAGGTGGAGGAGAAGTGCCCTGGCGGGCTGCCACAGCCGATCGTACATAGGACAGCTCCTCCATGGTACACCACTGGAGGAGGACGGGATTGTCCTCGGAAATGGGCTGCCTCAGCGAGGGTCAGCATGGCACAAGCACACACGTCGCATAGTTAACGTCAGTCACCAGCACCAGAGGGGGAGGGGGGGGGAGGGAGGCGAGAGGGAAAGCCCGCGCAAGAAGCACCCCCCATCGGGGGGGACGTACAATCGAGGAATCCAAACTGAATTGGTAGTGCCCACCGGGGCGCATGGTGTATGTAGACTGCCCGCCGATGGACATGCGGACTTGAATCAGGGCCGGCGTCGTGTATGTCGGCCGCAGGGAGATGGTCGTGTCCTGAACGAGGGCCTGCGCCGAGGACAGCAGCAGGGTGGCCAACAGGGCCACAGCCAGCAGGAGCGTCCAGGCCGAAGAGGGCCGTGCCATGCTCCTCCCGGTATGGGGAACTGAGATCCCGACGGCAGGTTAGCAATCGCGGACATGGCGAGGTGGCCACCGCAGGCCCGAGCATATACCAAGGCCAGCATGGCGACAGGTTGGGACCCCCCCCACGAGAGAGAGAGAGATGGGGGCGGAGAGAGGGAGAGAGGGAGAAGGGGCGGGAACACACCGTTGGCGTCAAAAGGCCCCCTCATGGTTGAGGCTAAGTGGCGAGGCAAAGGGGGTAGCGTCGCTGGAAACGGGGCAATATGCCTTGCGCAAAGGACCCTGGGGGAGGGGCGTCGCGAAATAGCAAACACAAACGCAGGAGCAGGGGGGGGGGAGGGAAGGAAACAAGGAGAGGGTAGAAAAGAGCGGGCGAGGAGCAGGCAGAGGGGGAGGGGGGGGGGACAGGAGGATGTGAGAAGGCGTGGGTGCGGAAGATCCCCGGATCGGGGGGGCCGGGGGCGGGGATCTGGCTGAAAAAAGGCATTTCTCGGGAGGAGCGGAGGAAGCCATGATCGGCCTTCGGTGCCCGGCGGAGGTGGGCCGGGGGGGGGGGGGGGAGCAGCCGGTGCGGGACGAGATCGCGCCTGGCGACCCCCCTCCCCCAGGACCATCTTCCGTGCCGGAGCCGCTCCGGGCGAGTCATCACTCGCCACGCGCCATTTCCCGTCCCGGCATGCCCCCGCCCCCCCACTGCCGAAGCTGGCTCCCTAGTGCGTCTTCTGGCCAGCACACGCACACACACACACACACATGCACCAACGTGCTTCACCGCCCGAGGGGGGGGGGGGGGCCTTTCTTCGGTAAGGGCCCGCTTGCCGAAAGCAGAAGCAGCTGTGCATCCCGGCCTCGCGCGTTGACCGGTGCAGGCCGTTCCTTCGCGGCGAGGGGGGCCAATGAACACCCCCCCCCACCCCGGGGGGGGGGGAGGGGCCATCAGCATGAGACAGCATCTGGCCTCTGGCGAAGTCCCGCCCCCCTCGGCCCTTAGCCAGCCAAGCCCCGGCACGGTCGCGAGGCCAAGCCCCCGGAGCATGGTCCCTGGCCGATCGTCACCCCTCCGGTGTGCTCCCTTGGCCCGCACGCATTCCTCGAGCACATCTCTCGCGCCCGGAGCCGGGCCCCGGGCAGGAACATGATCGAGCATCTCCGGCGTCGATGGGAGTCAAGGGCGTCAGCCCGGCGCACAGGGACCCGGAGCCAGTGTGGTGCGAGATTCAATCCGCCGGCTACCCCGCAGCGTCGCCCGCGGCGGCCGCGCCTCCCAGCCGCGCTGGAAGCCCCGACGCCCAGGCGGATCCCGGCGCGCTCGACCCAAAGAATGCCCCCCCCCCCCCGCCCGCCCCCCCGCCCACAGCCCAAGTGCACGGTTCAATCTTATTATTCTTTCCTCTTCTTTCCTGGGGCGTGTGGTGCTACTGGCTCTCGCCCCTGCGGCCGTGGAAAGGGGCGCCGGATACTCGCGCGCCTCTCTGTGACGTATGGTCCACTCGGAGCAAGGCGGGGGGTTAGGGTTGGTGGGTCGCGTGACAGAGAATCTGCTGTTTTGTATGTTCCGTGCTGCCTTTGGAGCATGGCGGACCCGTGTCGCCGGCCGGACGGCTGCCCCATGCAGCCCGACCGACTCGGGGGATTCTGACCGGCCTCTCGATCGCGCTGCTCCCTGCTCACGGATCGGGCCGCGCTCCGTGGGGACCTCCCGCCGGGTCTTTTTCGGTGCCCACTGGGCATTCGCGGAGGGAACCATCGAACGCAGTCCCCCCCCACCCCCACCCCCGCCACCGCCGCCACCACCACCATCACCGCCACCACCTCCTCCTCCTCTCCGCCGCTCGGCTTGTTTGCCTGACTCACGGCCATGATCCGCCGCCCCCCAACCGAAATCACCCTCGGCCCGGAGGATCTCACCGCCTACATGGCCGCCGCTCCATCCTCTGCCGGTCCTGCTAGCCCGGCCAGCCATACCATTGACCTCCAGCAGCAGCAGCAGCAGCAGCAACAGCGGCAGCAGCAGCCGGCCGATCAGACACCCCCGTCGACCGGGCCCGTGCCCCATGCGCCTGGGAGAAGTGCCCCACAAGGCGCGTCCGTGCGTGCCACCTCCTCGCCTGTGCCCGAAGAAACAAGCGACGCCTGTCTCACCCTCCTCTCCACTCCGTTCCACTGGCCGTCGGTGCCACCCAGTCGGCCGACTCCTGGCCCCAGCAACTCTGAGCGCATTCGGGGGAGGGGGAAGGGCGGAAAGCAGGCAAGGGCACATCAGCAAGCCGACCGGGTGTTTGTATTATTGGCACGCGCATCTTTCCGCGCTCGCCGGTTTCTTCTTTCCCCGGCGCGATGGCATCCGACGCCACGCCCAAATACAGCCTCCCTGGATGATACTCCCTTCCTGGCGCCGTTACTCAACGCGCACCGTCGAGAAGAGCCAGCGCGCGGTCTGGAAGGCGGCGAATACACCGACTCCAGCTGCCACCGGGCACAAAAGCAGCAGCAGCTGGACGCCGCGGAAGAGAATCACCACCACGGCGGCCGCCTGGCCGGGCAGATCGGTTGCCGTCCCGACGCGGACCAGCTGCGTCACACAGTGCAGCATGACGGCCATCGCCGCGGCACACCCCGGGGCCAGAGCGGCCGGCCACCACCAGAAGTAGTTCTGTCCCGTCCGAGGGACGGAGGGGTGAGCGAGAGTGAGAGCGACGAGAAGACCCGGGGGTCCCGAGCATGTGGAGGAGCAGGCAGGAGACAGGGGGCAGGTGGAGGGGGGGAGGGGGGGGGGGATGGTCCACCGCCAGTGTTCAGGAAAGTGTCAGTGGCCAAATCCGGGGCAGGAAAACAGGCCGCAGCAGCGGCAGCATCATCCCCGGCAGCAGCAGGAGCAGCGGCAGCAGCAACCCACTCGGAGCCGGGTGACAGGGCCCGGAGCACGCACCTCGGTCTGCCAGCAGTGATAGGCAGTGGCCATGCCAGCCAGGCATGCCCCCCCGATGAGGGTCCCCATCCAGAGGGTCAGTGCCAGGGCATACTCCCAGCTGACCATCGGCGGGAACCAGCTCCAGGGAACCATGCCCGAGTGCAAGCGCGCCAAGGCGCCCCACATGTAGAGCCCCAGCGGGAAGGCATACGCCAGGGCCACCGTGTACGGCCCGAGGGGGATCCGGCCCCACAGGAGCGGAGCCACCGGGACCGGGCGCGGGATGCGGTTGGTCCGCACGGGGGTCGATAGGACGGCCTTCTTGCGGCCGAAGTAGGCCCCGGCCAGACCGAAAGGCAGGGCCCCGGCCATGACCAGGCCCGCCCCGAAAGCCCCGAGGACCACGCGAAGGGGGATGCGGCTGCTGCTCTGGACCAGCGAGGCAGCCAGGTTGACAAACATCTGGGCAACCATGAGGCCCGCGGGAATGGTGAGGGAGTTCTACCGGTGCCCGGGCAAGGCATCGACGCATGGGGGCGGGTCAGCACGCGTGTGTGGTGGGGTGTGTGCGCGCACGCGAGGAACATGCAGGGCCGAGGAAGTAGGCCAGAGGGCCAAGGGTGATGCAGGGCGGACGCATGGAGGAAGCCCAGATGCGTGTCCACGCCATCCCGAGGCCCGGCCCAGGGGGAGGGGGGGGGGGGGGGGGGGGGGTCTTGAGCAACGCACAATCACGGCCTGCCGACTCCAGCTCCCGGGACCCTTGGAGGCGGCCGAGGCCGTTGACGAGGGGGCCGCCGTGCCGTGGATGAAAAACTTGTGCACTCGCGAGCCGTGGTAGTTGGCAACCGCACTGTCGGCAAGATGACCCCCCGAGGGCCATCCGGGGGAATGTCGTGAGTCTCATGGAACCAAGGGGCCGCGGCAATGTACAGCGCGAGGTGCAGGGCCACCTGCTGATGGATGGCCGTCGGGCCTTGACGCACGACAGAACGATAAAGGCACAGGCAGTGGCGCCAAGGATGGCCAGTCGAGACCCATGGCTCGAGAGGGTTTGCGAATAGAGAACCTCCGAGAGGCTGTCGCCCGAGATCGAAAGCAGCACCAGGCCTGGGCGGGTGGCAACAGGCAGACCGTCAGTCAGTGGCACCACAGCCGGCCTCAAGCCCCCGACCTGCCCCTCCCCGCGGCCTCGCTGTTGCCGATTGCGGCTCGCACGCACAGGCCGTCAAAAAGATGCCCGTTGTGGCCAGTTGAATGGCAGTTGAGATGAGAAGGACCAGCCAGCCGCGGCGCCGCGGCGGCCGGAAGACATCCCCATGAATCAGTCGCCAGCCGGCCAGACCGCCGACCTGGCCGCTGGCCGACGGATCGTCGATCATCAGCACGAGGCCCTGTGCCGCGGCAGATCCGTCCTGGAGGATGGCCATGGCGGGAGGGGGAGGGCGAAAAAAAAAGCCCCAGGAAGAGCAGGAGGCCGGACGAGCCCCCTCTGGGCGTGAGTACGCATGGGCTCGGGGAGATGGCCGCTGGCCGCAAAAAAAACAAACAAACAAACAAACAAGCAAACAACACACACACCTTCTCCTGGAGCTCGATGTTCGTGCGCGAGTTGTAGCGCTCGCTCTCTTCGCGCATGGACCGGAAGATCATGAAGCCGAAGCCCACGATGACCACGGGCGCCAGGAAATCGCCGATCCCCAGGAGCTTGGCGCTGGAGGCGTCGGCCGGGACCACCGGCGCCTGCAGCGAGTGTGCCAGTCGCACTGGCGGCGAGGCCAGCGCCCGTGCGACCGGCACAAACTCCGCCGGCGTGGTCTTGACAAAGCGCACCGAGTACGAGTAATTGATGGCCAGCACCTCGGTCGGGGGGGTTTCATCGGCGCGCTTCTTCGGGCTAGAAGTCAGGTCCAGCACCGGTTGCGGCCGGATCGAGTCCGCGTCTACCATCGACTCATCGCGATCGTGTGGGCAGAACCCGTGCGACTGGTCGATGCTGTGGTGGCCGGTGGGGGTCCGCAAGGGGGGGGGGGGGGGAAATCGGGTGAGCATGCCTCCGCGCGGAGTGGCGTTTCGAGCACGCTTTCACACCGGGAAGGGGGGGGGGGGACGCACCTTCGCGGCACGGCCTCCACCCCGAGCACGCGCAGGCCGGTCTTGTCTTTGGACAGAGACTCGGGATGGAAGTAGACCTTCAAGTCAAAGTGGTTGAACAGGACCGGGAAGCCTTTCTGCGGGCCGGACAGCGGGGCCGCGACCGGCGGAGTGAAAGGGGACATGCGCAGGAGATGAGACAAAGGGCGTGGGGCTTGTGCTTGCGGCCGTGGGCCGGTGAAAGTGTGAAACAGCCCCACCTAAGTGGGCAAGGGGAGAGAGAGAGCACGGGAGGACAGGGAGGAAGGGTCATGGAGGGGAGCAGAGCGAGGCGCGACGAACCTCAAGGCGTCCAAGTGGAATGCCCAGCTCCACGCCGGCGGCCAGGTCTGAGTTGCCGTAGAAGCGCGAGTGCCGCGAAAAAACCGGCTTCCCGGCGATCACCCTGTAAATGTGTGTGTGTGTGTGTGTGCGTGTGCATGTGTGCGGGGACGCAGCACACCAGGATGGGAACATGTGGTCGGTCAAACACCCGCAGGGGCCGGCATTCGGGCGCACGGTCAGATACATACCACTCGGCGCGGTGGCCCGACTTGACCAAAGACGAGAGGAGAGACGATTCGCTACGCGTGGCCTTGACCGTGGACGATCCGTCAGCCCCGCGGCACAGCGGGGAGCAGGGCAGATCGATGCCGGCCTCGATCTTGGCGGGTCCGGCAGCCCGGCCAGACAATCGGGAGGAGATGGCGAGCGGATGTCAGCCGGCGGCTGCTCGCCAGAAGCAAGCGCCCCCCTCCCCTCGCGCTTGATCATGCAGCACGTACCAGCAGCGGACTCAAGGACACGCGATCGCCGCTCCACATCTGCAGCCAGTCATTCCGCCGGGACACCGGCCCGACAGGACCGGGCTTCAATCCGGGGACACCGTCGGCCGGTGTCTTGCCAGGCTTGGTCGGCGCCAGGGAGCGCTCGGTCGTGCAGAAGGGCAGCCCACCGACCGGCCGAAGGAGGGGGTCGCTGCCCAGCAGGGCCATCGGTGCGCCGACCGTGTTGTACCATACCGGCACGACGTCCCCCTCCTGTGCAATGGGAAGAGGGAGGACAGGCATCTGGTCAGGGTGCCGCTGGGGGGCTGCCAAAAAAAAAAAGCCCAACCAAACTGGACTCTGGGTCACCCATCCCTCTCTCGCTCTTCGCCTGGCCCGCTCCAGTCCCTGCCGCTGATGCCCCCCCCCCCGTCCCCCCCCCCCCCCCCCACACATATACACGCATACAGGACACTGCCCTGTGGGATGTCCTTCTTCCTGGCCTGCTTGATGCGCTCCAACGGCACGTTGCTTGTGGGCTATCCGTTGTTTGATGCGGTGTCGGCCGTGCGCCATCGCTGGGCCGCTCGCGGGGCCCCCCCCCCTCCCCCGAGATCATGAACGCACCGCGAGAACGAGGGACTTCAAGACAGCGGTATTGCCGACAAAGCGCGAGGGAGTGCCGGAGGAGCTCGCCGCCATGGCGTGCCCCTTTGCCGCCATGCCCTCAAGGGCGAGCTGCTCATCAGCCTCGTCGGTTGCCTGGGCGAATGCCCTCGATGCGGGCGCCAGGACCACCACCAGGGCAAGGAGCAGGGCGAGTAGCCGATGGGTGGCCATTTTCCTTACACCACGCAGATCGGCGTTCGGTCGCCCGAAGGTCCAGGATGCAAGAGGAGCGAAAGGGAAAGGGGGAAAACGAAAAAAAAAGTGGGGATGACAGTCGGAGGGCGGAGAGGGGAGAATGGTGATTGATAGTGAGGGGGGGGGGGGGGGGGGGGCCCAAGTCGGCGGGCGCCGCTCGCGGGCCGGCGGGGCACCACAAAAAGATGCCCCCTCCTCCGCTCCCTCCTGGCGGGGTGTCCCCGAGCCGTGTGTCTCTCGCCCCCCGCCCCCTGGCGGGGTGGTGTCCAGGCCCAGGGCGCGAGATCTGATCCGCCGAGGGAAAAAGAAGGCCGCCTGGAGGTCGCCTTCATCCGCCCCCCGGTGCCAGTGTGCCGGGGAAAAGGAAAGGGAAAAAGGAAGAGAAAAACAGAAGCCGTCGAGGGGGCGCTAGAGGAAGCACACACACGGGGCCCTCCGCCTCGCGCGAGCTTGGCCCCCCGCCCGCCGGCCCGACCCGGCCCGCCCCGATCGGGCTTGGCCCTTGCCCCGAGCCCAAGGTGACAGGTTAAGGGTCGGTTGAGGGCGTCGCACCGCTCCCTCCCGGCTGCTCCCGCGACAAAGGCCGCGGCCACGGACTTGCACACACGTACGCACGCACGAACGTACGCCCACTTGCCCCGGAGCCGGGCGCGCTTCTTCGGCGGGGATTTCGGGCCCGATCGGAGGGAATGACAATGGGATCACGAGCCCGCCCGGCGCATCACGCACAAACCCTAAATGCCCTTCAAACGGCGGAGGGGCCCCAAGCTCGTCGTCCCACCAGCCTGGCTCGGGTGTTCCATCGGTTGTCACTGCCCAAGCAGGTCAGCATGCCAGGAGCGCGTTTCCTAGGGTAGCAGACAAATTTGTCCACGACGATGCCTCGGGAGCGCTTCCTTCTAGTACACAAGAACACATCATCGAGGGTATGCTCGCAAAATGAGGGGCCCGAAGAGCGGACGACGAGGGCGGGGCCCGTCGTGGCGGGATCGCCCGGGCTGGCCGCTCCTAATCTCCGCCGCGTTCGCGCGCGCGCGCGCGCGCCGGTCGAAGCTAATCCGACGGTGCCTGCCCGCCGATGATGGAGGGGCCCGGCTCCGCCGAAAGGGGGTTGTTCTTCTGGAAGCTTGTCCGAGAGGCTTGTCGTTACTTTCTTCGCCCCGGCGAGCTTCCCCCGCGTCGCCCTCCCCCCGTTGATCATCCGGGGGGGGGGGGGGGGGGGGGGGGGAGGGGGGGGGGGGGGGGGGGGGGGGGGGCATGCTCCCTACGTTCTCCGCCTCTCTGTCCGCCCGTCCCTTGTCGCCAGCGAGAGCCGGGCCGAACACCACCCCCACAGAGCTGGCAGCCGGGTGGCGGATGAGCAGCCGAGCAAAGGCGCCGGCCGAGGGGGCGGGGGAGGGTGGACGCGCCTGCCGGGGCAAGGTGGCATTTCAGGCGCGCACACACACACACACACACACGAGAGCGCCCCCGCCCACCGAAAACCATTGACCTGGCCTCCTGGGTCTTGGGCGTGAGAGTGGCCGCGGCGTGCTCGTGGACGCCGGTTTCCCCGGGGGCGCGCATGTGCAAGAGCGTGCACGCGCGTGCGTGTGTGCTTGACAGCCACTAGGCCGGCCGGGGAGCCTGGGCAGGCGCGAACCCGTTCAATCGCAGTTCGGCCCAATCCCCGGATACCACCCCCCCTCCCCCTCTGAAGTCCGGGACCCCTAGTTTCTTGGCGTCTCTCTTGGCCGGTGGCGTAACCCCTCTTTTTGCTCCGTTGGACTCTGCCCCCGCGCCTGCCTGCACGCGTTTTCTCCCGGAGGAGAGGGTGGCCTACTCCCGAGGAGAGCGGGAGGGGGGGCGGGGGAGGGACAAGGGTGGGAACGGCCCCCTGGCCTGTGCTAGCCATCGCGGCGCGGCCTGGGCCCTTTTTTTCGGCCCCCGCCCTCCTCGCCCGCGGTCCCGTATCCCCGGAACAGCACTGTCCGACTTATTGCTTCCTCCTCCTCCCCTCTCCTTCCTCTCTCTCTCTCTCTCTGCCTTCCTCGCTCCGGTCTTTGCCGTACATAGCCACTCCCCCCCCCCCCGCCCACCCTCTCTTCTTGCCCCCTTCGGCCGCTCTGCCGCGCATCAGCCGGCTCCTCCCCCCTTGCATTCTTTCTCTCCCTGGTTCTTCCCCTCTCCGCCTCGCGCCGTCTTCTCCCCTCCCTCTCACGTTTGTCTCTGCCCGCTTGCTCCCTCCTTGCTCCTTCCTGACCGTCAAACCCTTCCCCCCCCCCCTCCCTCCTCCCTGTGACCTGCTCTTCCTTCGCTCCATCGCGCTTCCATGCACATCTTCTCGACCCCTCCCTCCCCTCCCCACTCCCTCGTTCTCTTCCCCCTCCCCCCCTCGCTCCCCTCCACTGCCCGTTGGTCCCGTGTCTCGACCCGTGCATGTACGGTCCATCCTCCCCTCTCCTCCTCTGCGCACATCACCCTCATTGCTTCGCACCACCAAAGCCTTCTCGCTATCCCTGTGAGTCTCGCAATTACGCCCTCCTTCCATGTTGTCTCATTTATTTTGGCCCCCCTCCTCCCCCCTCCCTGATTCCCGCCCTTTCCCCTCCCCTAACCTTCCCGCCGAATGTGGCACCCATCCTGCTGTCTTGCTTCCTCCTTTCCTCGCCTCCCCCGCTCCCCGTGGTCTCTCCTCTCGGTATGTGCCCATCCTCCCTCCCCCACCATGGCGCTCGCGTGCGTCCACCTCCCCCTCCCCCCCCCAAACTAACTCCCCTTCGCCTTTAGCCCTGCTCCCTCCGCCTCCCCATACCACAGGGATATCCTTCGCCCGTCATGTCCTTGCATCCCGGCCGCGCCTACGCGTCCTCCGCTCCCGCGGCCGATCCCTTCCCCCTCGGGTCATCCTCTCGCGCGGCGCCTCCCCCCCCTCCCCCTCCTGGCGGCGGCGGTGCCACCATCGCCGACTACATTGCCTCCATCTCGGCCAACAAATCGATTGTCCCTCCTCCCGGGACTTTCTACTCCTCGGACTCCTTTTTCCGACCCGTGGCCTTCAGTCCGCCGAGCTCCTTCATCCACCGGCAGATCTCCTGGTGTGTCCAGCACCTGTTCTCTGCCTCTGACTTCGAGCTCCGCAAGCCGGCTCCGTCCGCCTCGCCGTCGCGCTCGCCCGCCCCGGCAACCAGCCAATCGGAGGCCTTCCTCCTGGCCCCCACTTCCGTCGTCAAGGCCCCCCTCGAGAGGGTGCGATTCTGAGTCCCCCCCCTCTCTCTCTCTCATTCTTTCTTTCTCTCTCTTTCTTTCTCTCTCTTTCTTTCTCTCTCTTTCTTTCTCTCTCTTTCTTTCTCTCTCTTTCTTTCTCTCTCTTTCTTTCTCTCTCTTTTTTTTCTCTCTCCCTCCCTCCCTCCCTCCCTCCCTCCCTCCCCCTCTCCCTCTCTCCCTCCCCTTTACACAGACTCCCATGCTGATCACCTTCCCTTCTCGTGAATCACTCCCGCCCCCCTGGCGCTTCAGTTGATCAGCCTCGGTGGCACTGCGGCATTCGAGTTCTACCTGGGCGCCCTCTTTGACGCGATCGACTTCGGGTCCCTTGACCTGCTCTTTTCCTCGGGGTTCTCGCCCTCCAGTAAGGACATCCCAAGCAGCCTTCAGCAGGCACTTGCTTCCAATCCCTCTCTCTATCGTCAGCTGGCGCTCTGTTGGCTTCTCGGTCAAGAGCTTTCCATCCTCCTTTCGCAGTCCTTCCGCTCCGGCATCGTCCTTCGCCTGCTCGAGTCTCGCTTGCTGCCGCGCTTCCACCACCCAGCCGGCTCCACTTCATCGTCTGCCACCAGCACCGTCTCCACCGACGGCGTTCCCTCCAAGACCGGCTCCTCCAGTCCACCGTCATCGGTCACGACAGCCGCTCCCTGCCTCCCGGCCACAAGTCTCCCCCGACTGTCGCCCGTCTTCGCCCTTGTCCGGCACGCGTTCCTCCTTTTCCGTGGTGACGCCCTCTCGTGCTTGCTTCTCGGCACCGTTCTCGCCGGGTCACCAAGCTTCCTCCGGTCGGCCGCCTTCTCCGCCAACCAAGCCCTGCCCCCGTCTCAGCCGGGAGCCCATCCATCTGCCGCCGGTTCCGCCCCAGGTGCCACTGCCTCCGGTGTTGCCCCTTCGTCGGCCGCCAACGCCACCACTGCTTCGGGATCCCCTGGCCTTCGGCAAATCGATTCCGGTCGTGTTCTCTCTAATCTCGGCCACGAGCTTGTTCGCGTCTACCTGGCCCACGGCATCGGCCTGGTCATCAGCCACTTCGATCCCTCGGACCGATCTGCCTCCCTCCCCTCGGAGCAGGACGACCCCGCAGCCACTTCCATCGCCTTGAGCCCGGATCTCGGCCGCTTCTTCCACACGCCCGTCTCTTCGGTCACCCCGGGTGCCGTTCACGAGATCCTCCAGTTCCTCCACGCCCAAGCCCACCTTAGCTTCCGCGTGCACGGCCTCATCCTCACCGAGACGTGCGGCTTCCCGTCTTGCCGATCCCCTGCCTGTGCCCCGGCTTGCTCCTCCCTCCCCCCCCCCTCCCCTCGTCAGCCAAGCTAACACCTTTGTCCTTCCCTTCCCTTCCCCCCCCCTCCCTCTCCCTCTGTCGCCCCCACCACGAGCAGCCAAATCCTATTCGCCCATCTCCGGCATCATCTCCTGCCCGACTGCTCGCCCTTCCTCTATCCGCTGATCTACGCGATTGACGGGCTCCTGTCGATTTCGCTGCTCCGCTCTCCCGCCTCGGCCCCCCTCCCCCAGGACCTTCCGCAGTTCTCCAACGAGGTCATTTCCCCGATGTACAGCCATCCGAGCAAGCTCGACCCGGCCCCGGCCCCGGCCCCGGCCCCCGGGGCGGATCGCACTGCTGTTAGCTCGTTCTTCGGCGGCGGGGCCTCCCCCGGGAGCGCCTCCCTGGCCCTGTACATGAGCGAGTTCGGCACTTCCTGCGTGGCCACCCTGGCCACCGCCTATGCCCTGCTCCAGTCGTATGTCATCATCTGTGCCAACATGGACCCGGCCAGTCCGCCCGACGCGGCCGAGCTGCCGGCCCTCCTCTCGCGCTACATCACCGACGCCCACATCTCGGACGCCATCACCATGATGGTGCACACGGTGCAAACCGCCCGGACAGGGTCCTTCCACATTCAGGCCACCTCCTGGCCGGCGCTCATCCAGCCGGATGCCGCGGCCGCGGCCGCCGCCACCACCATGGCGGCCCCCTCCCAGCCGGCCGCTGCTGCCAGCGCCGCGGCCACCTCGGCGCCCGCCGCCCCGGGGGCAGGGGGCTCCAAGCCGGAGACCGACTCGTCGCCGGTGGTCCTGGCCACGGCGGCCGCTGTTGCCGCGGCCACCGGCCAGGCCGTGCCCACGCCGATTGTTGCGCGGTCCATCGACTCCGAGGTGCCGGGGGGGCTCCTGCGCGCCATGTCCGCCGATCGCCCGGGCGCCTCCGGGCGATGCTGGAACATCGGGAACTTCCTTCGCGCCGCCCTGCAGCTGGTGTGTTCCGCGGGTTTTCTTGCTCCCCTCTCCTGGCCCCGTTCCCTTCCCCATTCTCCTTCTTCCTTCTCCCCCCCCCCCCTGGTCAAAAGGCCACCGGCCCGATGTTTAGCTGACCCATGCCCGCTGGCCAAGATCCCGACCCTGAGCCCGGAGGTCATCCTCCGGTCGCTTGACCGGCCGGACCTCTTCCCCCCGGAGTACACCCCATCGATCCTGACGGCGGATCTGCTCTTCGAGGCCACCGTTGCCCTGGGCTTCCCGCAGTACTCGCTGATCCGCTTTGTCCTGATGCCGCGTGCGAATCTGCGCTTCACCCCGGCCGCCGCCACCACCGCCGCTGCCCCCGCCACCGCTTCGAACGCCGCCGCGGCCGCCGCGGCCGCCGCCGGGCCCCCTGGCTCCGGCTCCGGCTCCGGCTCCGGCTCCGACGAGGCTCCGGCCACCGCGGCTGCCGCCGTGCCCTGGGTCAATCCGCTGCCTCAGCTGCAGCTCCTGTCGACCTTGATCGGCTTTGGGTCGCATGTGTTCCTGGACCCGGCGCACGGCTTGCACTCGGTCTTCCTGGACGCCTCCGGCAAGAGCATCATGCCCCCGTCGGTTGTCGACTCGCTGAAGACCGTGACCGCATCGGCCTCGGTGTCCGTTGGCAAGGTCGCCTCGCCGGAGCTTGCCCGCGCCTTCCAGGCTGCCTACAGCTATCGGGAAATCCTCCACCTGTTCCTGGCCTTGGATCAGTTGAAGGACAAGACCGTGTCCTCCCTCTGTCGGTCGATGCTTGGCGAGGCGTTCAATGCCACGAGCTCGCTGCTGCTGCTGAGCATCGCCTCTCTGAATGTGCGCCCGGTGTCTCCGCCACTCCTTTTTTCTTCGGCTGCTCTCTCCCGCTCGCTCGCTCGCCCCCGGGGTGGCCTTCTCGCTGACTCCATCTCCTTGCTCCTCTGCCTCTGTCTCCGGCTCTCTCCCCTCCCCCCCCCCCCCCCCCCCCCCCCCCCCCCCCCCGTCGCAGTTCAAGGAGATGTTCCTCGCCAACAAGATCGTCCCGGATCTCTTCTCGCAGATGGTCAATGCCCTGCTCTTTATGGCCATCAATCTGCCGCATGACAGCCTCCCCTACTTCCCCGGGGTGGGCCCCTTCGCGTCGTATCTCCTGCGTGCCATCTGGCACCTGAACCCGGAGGCTATGGTGTCGCTGCTGGTTTTGCTGCACCGCCAGTCGCCGGAGTATGTGGAGATCCTGATGACCCTCTTCTTTGGGCACATTCTCCAGGGCGACCCGGCGCAGATCCTCCGCCCGGCGGTGGCCAGCCCCACCGATCGGCCACAGGAGGGGCCCGATGCCGGGGCCGGCCCGGCCGCCCCCGGGACGGATGGCAGCGCGCCCAGCGCCGGTGCCTCCGCCGGCGGTTCATCCACCCCGGCCGGCGGGCCCGGCGCCGCGGCCATGGCCGGCGATGGCGGCCCGGACACCCGGGCCCATGAGCTCCCGCCCTTTGTCCGGCTGCGCTCCATCCACACGGTCACCCTGGGGTTCATCCTGGACCTGGCGATCGCGGCCTCTTCCAACAATTGGGCCCTCCCCGAGGGGGATGGGTCCCTTTCTTCCTGGCTCTCGGTGCAGGTTGGCCACTATGGGGAGATCTTCCTGACGGCCATCTTCGAGTACATCCAGGCCCGCTGGTCGCTGGTGGAGCTGAAGTCTCCCACCCTTTCGGTGGTTCTCCTGTCGCAGCTGTTCTTCGTTTTGCTGTCCAGCACTGATGCCTTCCGGGAGGTGCTGGCCGGTGGCGGCCCGGCCGCCGGGGCCGCATCCGCCAGTGGGTCCCCCACGGTTGCCCCTCACAGCCTGAACCCCCCACTGCCCGAGTCGGTCAGCCTGCCGGTTCAATTGCAGAACCAGGTCATCGACTTGCACAAGCGCTGCTGCCAGATCTACCCGCAGCTGGCGCACCCGACCCCCTCCGGGGCCATTGTGGCCAAGTTCCCGGCCGCCGGGGCGGCGAATCTCCACCTGCAGCCGATCCAGCCGCACTTCTTCTCGCGCTTTGCCCCGGCCAATGACCTGGTCCGCCAGGCGATCGACCGTTTGCGGCAGTTCTACAACGGCAAGGTGACCCTCCTGGTGCTGATCGATGAGCTGCGCCAGCTGCGTGACTCCCAGCAGCCGGACAAGGTCAAGTATGCGGAGACCATTGTCCAGTGTGCCATCGACGACACGGAGCACATTGCCATCTGCCCAAACAATGAGCTGATCCTCTTTGGCCGGCTTTTCGGCCAGCTGATCCTGCACCAGCTGGTTCCCAAGGAGTCCTTCGCCATGTCCATGACCTATGTCAAGGCTTCCTTCTCCTTCAAGCCGCTGCAGCGCCGCTTCCGCTTCGGCCTGCTGGCCCTGCTGGAGTTTATGCCCATTCTCGAGCACTACCCGGAGTACTGCCGCGAGCTGTACCAATTCGAGTCCCTGCGGCAGGAGTGCCCGCGCAAGTTGAGCGCCCTCCTCCATCGGGTGATCAGCCGGCACTTTGAGGGGGACGTCCTGGCCGGGGTGGGGGCGCTGCCTCCCGGGGCCGGGGGTGCCGGGGGCGATGCCTCCGACGAGCGGTCGGATGGCGAGCCGGAATCCCCGGACTCCGATGTGCCGGACTCCGATGATGAGCGCCAGCGTGTGGCTCTCCAGCGGCAGCAGCTCCAGCAGCACACCACCCACCATCAGATGCTGCAGGCGCAGCAGCAGCAGCAGCAGCAGCAGCAACATCACCAGCAGCTGCTGCAGCAGCAGCAGGCCGCAGCAGCGGCCGCGGCCGCGGCCGCCGGCCACCCGCATATGCAGCACTTCCACCACCACCAGCAGCAGCAGCCCCCGGCCGCGGGGGCCCCCCTGACTCATATGCACCTTCACATGCAGCAGGCGGCCCAGCAGCAGCAGCAGCAGCAGCAGCAGCAGGCGGCCCAGCACATGCACACCCACCACCAGGCCCAGGCCCAGCGCCACCTCATCCACCAGCAGCAGCACGCCGCCCAGTATCAGCAGCAGGCCCAGTATCACGAGCACCAGCTTCAGCTGCAGGCCCAGCAGCAGCAGCAGCAGCACGCCCAGGCCCAGCAGCAGCTGCACCACCTCCAGGCCCAGCAGGCCCAGGCCTCGGGCAGTGGCGCCAAGGATGCCGAGGTGAAGTCCCCCTCCGGGTCGTCTTCCGCTTCTTCCTCCTCCTCCTCGGCCCCGGCTGCCGCCGAGCATGGGGCCACCGCCTCGGCCGGGCTCGATGCCGGAGCCGGCCCCGGCGGCATGCCCTACCATGTTCCGCCGGAGCCGGTGCGCGAGCGGATCGACTTCATCCTCAACAACATCACCGCTTCCAATACCGCCTCCTCGGCCCACGACACCCTGGACCTGCTGCATCGGGGGCTCCAGGCGGCCGCCCTGGCTGGCGGGGACTTCCCGGACAAGCATGCCGGGGCCGACCTGCTGGCTGCCCGGCCGGACACCTACTACCTGTGGTTCTGCAACCACCTGATGGAGACCCGCATCATCAAGGAGCCCAACTTCCACCCCGTGTTCCTGGCCCTGATCGAGGCCATGGGCGTGGAGGCCATCGATCAGACCCTGCTCCTTGTGACATACAGCACCATTCGCGCGCTGCTGGCCGATGGCGACTCCTCGTCCACGACGTCCTCCTCGGTGCGGACTGGGCTCTCCAAGCTCGGGTCCTGGCTCGGGCGCATCACCATCGGCCGGAACCGGCCGATCCTGCACAAGCACCTGGTCATCAAGGATGTCCTGCTGGATGCCATCCGCGACAAGCGCCTGCACCTGGCCATGCCCTTCGTTTGCAAGACCCTGGCCTTCTCGAAGGACTCGCTGGTACGTGCCATTGTGCCTGCTTCCTTGTTTGTCGAGGCCCACCTGCCTCTTTTCCTCGCCTCCCCCTGGCGCTGACGGTTCGGCTTTCTCCCCTCCGCTTCCTTCCCCTGCCCCTTCCCCCCCCCCTCCCGCACCCCGTCGCCTTGCCTCCTCCCCTGGGCCCGTAGGCCTTCCGCCCGAGCAGCCCCTGGACCATGGCCATCCTGCGCTTGCTCGGGGAGATTCTCCTGGAGAAGGACCTCCGCATGAATATCTCCTTCGAGATTGAGGTCCTCTTCAAGGAGCTGGACCAGCGGTCGATCACCCCCTCCAACATCCTCAGCTCCCAGGACTTCCTGTCTGGCGGCCTCGGCAGCCGGACCGGCGGGCGCCATGCCCCGCGCCGTGCTCTTGGCCAATCGCGCGATCTCAACGAGGCCAGCGTCATTGTGGCCGATGCCGCCACCGCGGCCGCCGTCGACGCGGCGGCCCTCGTGGCGGCGGCCCTGTCCACCCCGGGCCGAGGTGCCACGGCTCCCCCCTCGAGCGAGGAGGCCGGCCCTGCCGGGGCATCGGCCTCGGGCGCCGGCCAGCATCCGTCGCATCCTGGCGGCCAGCAGTCCCTGCAGCACCAGGGAGCCGCCGCCGGGCATCATGGCCCCGGCGGGCAGCACCCCTCGACCGATGGCGGCCTGGCCGACCCGGCGGCTGGCCTGCTTGAGGGGGGTGGCGCCGACGACTCGGCGGCCGGGCGTCGTGCCCTCTCCGACGGGTCGGCCGTCGATCCGGGCATCGAGATCACCCAGGCCCAGGAGCTCATGCAGACGCGCGAGCACTTCCGTGCCATTGTCTCGGAGGCGATTGACGAGTGCGTGCCTGGCCCTTTAGGTCGACTGCCATCCCCGCTTCTTCTTCTTCTTCTTCTTCTTTTTTTCTTGTCATGCGTGGCCGCTTTCCTTTCCCCCACTCTCTCTCTTCGCCATCGACTGTCGCTCACATCCTGCTTCTCCGCCTGTCTTCCCCCCTCCCCCTGTCTCGGCTCGCGCCGTGTCTTCCTCTCTCTCTCTCTCTCTCTCTCTCTCCCCCCCCCCCGCCCCTCGCAGTGCTGCGGCCGACTTCATCGAGAAGAACATGCGCCAGCTGAGCAATGTCGCATGCATCAGCGCCGAGATGCTGGTCTCCAAGGACTTCGCCGCCGAGACCGACGACCGGTCCATCCACTCCAGCGCCCTGGCCATGGGCCGGGCTCTGGCTGCTTCGCTGATCGTGGCCAGCAAGGAGACCCTCCGCCGGCTGATCACCACCCACTTGAACACCAAGATCGCCGCCTACCAGGGCGAGGCCCATGCCGGGGCCGCGCACCTGACCCCGAAGCAAATCCGCCTCCTGACGCAGTATGCCACCAGCGACACGACCGTCGAGCAGGTGGCCTACTACATCACGCAGTTCAGCTCCAACCAGGTGGACCGTGTCCTGCTGGAGCTGCTCCAGCGCCGGCGCCAGTGCTCGCTCAATGCGGCCGGCAGCCCGCCCGATGGCAAGGTTCCCTTCGATCTGGACGCCCTCAAGGCGGCCAACCACTACTCCGATCACATTCCCCGGTCGCTGTTGCCCGGGTCGGTGGAGCTTTCGGCCGCCGGCCCCTACCTCAAGGTGTATTCGGACTTTTCGGAGATGCCGCTCCAGCTGCATGAGCATGGTGCGCGCTTGGCCCCGGCCGTGGGCCCGGCCTCCGACGTGCCCCCGGTGGCCGAGGCGGTGGCCCCGGCCGCCGATGCCTCGGGCGCCCATCCCCCCCAGGCCCCGGGCGCCGGTGCTGCCGGGCCATACAAGCAGCTGCCTGCTTCCGGCCCGGCCACCGCCGGGGTGGTGGCGCCGCCGGCGGCCGATCCCCGCGCCGGCGGCCCTGCCATCACGCCGGAGATCCTCATCACCAATGTCTTCCAGCAGTTTATCGCCGATGTGGGCACCATTTCCGGGCCGGTGTTCCCGCTGAAGCACATCAAGGAGGACCCGACGCACCCGCTGGTTGCGCTTGGTACGCCATTTTCTCTCCCCCCCCCCCACTTCCTCCTTCTCCTCCTCCTCCGAGGGGGCTCCCCCGTGGCATCCCGCTGGTTTGCACTTACTGACCACTCTTCCGTCCGCATGTCTCCCTCCCTCTCCCTCCCTCTCCCTCCCTCTCCCTCCCTCCCTCCCTCCCTCCCTCCCTCTCTCTCTCTCTCTCTCTCTCCCTCTCTCTCGCCACCTATCTTCACAGTCAACAACATGATCGCCCGCTGTGGTGCCTTCGAGTGGCAGCTGGCCCGGCTGGCGCTGGATGCTCTGTTCACCCTGTCCTCGGACATCCATCTGCCGGGGAGCGGGAGCACCCCGGGCGAGGAGCTGGCCGAGTCGACCGGCGGCTCCTCCCCGGCCCTGGCCATGGCGGCCTTCTGCGCGCTCTTCCTCCTGCGCTTCTGCCACCAGGGCACCAACCAGGCCTACTGGCTGCAGAAGTACATCCAGGAGCTGATCTTCAGCGGCCGGGCCAATGTCCTGGCCCTGACGGTGCTCATCCGGGCCGAGGTCCTGAGCCTGACCTTCGTGCTGGAGTCCCTGACGCACGTGGCCCATGGACAGGCGGCGGCCACGGCCGCCGGTGCCAATGCCGGCAGCGCGCCCGAGCCCTCCATGGCCAATCTCTTCCTCGGCACCCTGATCGGGGTGTACATCCGCGGCTTCGGCGATGCCGATGCCCTGCTGGACCGCGAGACCCTCGGGGAGCTGGACATGCTGAGCAAGAGCGTGGCTCGCAGCCACTTCGGCCCGATCAGCGAGTCGCTGATCCGCCAGCTGCATGCGGCCTTGCAATTTAGCGCCTCGCCGGCGGCCGCCTCGGCCATGGCCCGCGGCCTGCACACCGCCTTCTTCACCATGGTCCCCATCTTCTCGCTCTTTGTGCTGACCAGCAACAGCCACAGCGCCACGCTGATCAGCCTGCCTCCGGCGGTGGCGGCCGGCCCCGGCGAGGAGGCCGCCGCCCTGGCCACGGCCACCGACCGCCTGGCCTCCGTGGCCCAGGAGGTCCGCCATCTGATCACGGCCTGGCGGCTGATCTTCCTGAGCCCCAGCTACGGGGAGTCCTCGCACTTGGCCTTCGCCCGGTCGATCAACACCACGCGCAGCCTGTCCACCGCCGATGCCACCCTCTGCTTTGTCATGTTCTTCCTGGACCTGTGCATCGGCGAGTTCCTGGTCACGCAGCAGCTCTCGCCGGCTCTCTATTCGGGCACCGGGCTGGCCGGGGCCCCGGGCCCCCGGCACCCGGCCTTCACCCTGGTGGACATGTTCACCCGGCTGGTGGCCCTGCGCGTGCGGCTCATGGCCACCGATGCCGAGCGTGTGCTCTTTGTTCGCCGGGTGCTGGCGGCCATTGTCCTGCACATGTCGGCCGTCCAGCAGCAGCTCTTCCTGGCCCTGCCCCAGGCGGTCTATCTGCACGTCTTCTCCAACCTCTACTATGAGCTCCTGTCATCGGATGCCATTCTGCTGTTGTCGCGCGCCACCGGCGACCAGCCGGCCGGGGCCCCGACCGCCGGGGCCACCCTGGCCCCGCGCAGCAGTGCCGCCCCCCCGACGGCGGCCGGCCCCGCGTCCGCCTCCCGCCCTTCCTCCGATCCGGCGGCCGCCCTGCCGACCATTGCCTCGATTGCGGCCGCGGCGCTCGAGTACTCGGAGTCCCACCCGACTGCCTCCTACTCCTCGGCCGGCGGGCCGGCGGCGGCGGCGGCGGCCGATGCGGCCCCGGTGGCCCCGGCCACGGAGACCGACTCGCTGGCCGGGGGCGATCTCGGCCACCTGGCGCCGGCCACGTCGGAGCTGATGTCGCAATTGCTGCTGGCCTTCGCCAGTGCCCTGGACGCCCTGCGCCCGTCGCAATTCCCGCTCTTTGCCTTCCAATGGGTGGACCTGATGGCGCATCGGCTCTTCATGCCGAAGCTCCTGCTGCTCGGGGCGCCGTCCATTGTGCCGGCCTCCTCCAGCAAGCCGGCCATGCTGGTTCCCTCGCAGCAGCCCCGCCGGGGCTGGCCGGCCTTCAAGAAGCTCCTCGTTGCGCATCTTGAGTTCCTCGGCCATCGGATGCGCGCCTCGCGCCCCCTGCCCCCGAGCCTCAAGAACCTGTACCGGGCCACGCTGCGCATCCTGCTGGTCCTCCTGCGCGACCTGCCGGAGTTCCTGTGCGACTACCATGTGTCGCTGGTGGCCGTGGTCCCGCATGGGTGTGTCCAGCTGCGCAATCTCATCCTCTCGTCCTTCCCCCGGCACATGCGCCTGCCGGATCCCTTCACCTCCGAGGTGCAGGTGGACTCCCTGCCGGATGTGCACATCCCCCCGCGCGTGCCGGCCTCCTTCGTCCGGATCTTCGAGAAGTCCCCGGCCGGGGTGGCCCTCCTTGACATTGTCAATGCCTATCTGCGCACGCGCGACGCCACCGGCGACCCGCTGCGCCAGCTGGCGCGCCTGGTCCACACGGCCGACAGTGAGCAGCAGCCGCAGCAGCTGACCGATGGCACCACCCTCCCGCCCAAGTACAACGATCCGCTCATCAATGCCCTGGTTCTGTATATCGGCATCCACTCGACCGCGTACCACATGGCGCAGCTGATGCCGTCGGCGGCCGCGGCCGCCGCCGCCGCACTCAGCTCGTCCAGTGCCTCGGCCGCTGGCGCCGGCTCCCTCATGGCTTTGCTGTCATCGGCGCCCATTTCGCCCTCCGGCTCGCCATTGCTCGGCTCGGCGCCGGCCAGTGCCTCGCTGTCGGCCGCGGCGGCCGCCGCCTCGACCTCGGCATTGGTCGGCACGTCCCCCAACCTCGGTCCTCTGTCCGGTTCGTCGAGCGCCGCCGGGGCCACGGTCACCTCGATCGCGCCCCGGTCGCATGGCGCCGCCGGCTCGGGCGCGGGAGACCACACGTCGGCCACGGTGGCCGAGTCGGGGTCCGAGGCGCCTGGCGCCACCGCGGCGGCCGCTGCCGCTGCCGCCGCCGCCGCCTCATCGCTCATGATGATGGGGCCCCTCCCCTCGGCGGCGGACTCCCCGGCCATGGACATCTTCACCCGGCTCATGGCCGACCTGGACCCGGAGGGACGCTTCCACTTCGTCAATGCCATCGCCAACCAGCTGCGCTATCCCAACCGCCACACCCAGTACTTCAGCGGTGTTCTGCTCTACCTCTTCCTCAAGTCCAATGAGCTTATCCAGGAGCAGATCACTCGCGTGCTGCTGGAGCGCCTGATCGTCAACCGGCCTCACCCGTGGGGCCTGCTCATCACCTTCATCGATCTGATCAAGAACTCCCGCTACGACTTCTGGAACAAGCCCTTCACCACCTGTGCCCCGGAGATCCAGCGTCTGTTCGAGACCGTCGCCCGGTCCTGCCTGACGTGAGGGCCCGCCGGCGTCGGGCCTGTGTGGCTGGCTCGAAGCCCCCGCCCCCTGAACCGGCGGCGGGGCCCTCTGCGCTGTCTCGCAGACAAAGGCGCGCGGAGGGGGCAAAAAAGGGGCGGGCCTGCACATGAGTCCGTGTGTCTTCCTTCCCCCCTGTGTCCAATATACACTCACCTGTCCCACAACAGTCTCCCCGGTCTTTGTGCATGTGTTCCTTGTTGTTTTTTTTTTTTGCTTTTCTTTTCCCCCCCGCCCTTTCTTTGCTTCTTGCCTTTGTCCATGGTCGTGCCGGCGCGGGGCGCTGGAGCGTGAAAAATGGCGGGGAGCCTTGCCGCGGCCGCGGCCGCGCCGGCTTGCGTGCTGCTGGCGCGCCTGGTCGGGCGAGGAGAGCCGGCCGCCCGGACGGGCTTTCCCCAAGCAGCGACGGCCGCCCCGGGACCGGGCACCCGGCACTGCCAGCCCGTGAATAATCCCCGCTGGGGCTCGGTCCTGGGTGCTGGGCGCCCGAGCCGCCCAGTGAGGCCGAGGACGGGGACGGGGGGGGGGGGGGCGGCGCACGCACAGCGCACGCATGCGGCCAGTCGCGTCCCCGCCCCCGAGAGAGCGCACGCGCGGGCGGCCGCGGGCCCCGGGACTGCCAACCGAACGGTGAAAACGGTTGTTTTTTGAATCCACCCGCCGGGCCCCCTGGCCAGGAGCCACCCCGCTCCCGGCGGCGGGGGGCGGGGGGGGGGGGGCTGCCGGACGGGGGAGATGGTCAGAGGCACACCGGCCCCTTCACGGCCCCAGCACCCTCCGAGGGCATCGGGCGAAATAACAATGCAATAATCGCCCCCGGGGCTCTCCCCCGGTAGCCCACTCCCCCCCGGGCCACCCCGTCCTGCCATCGATGTGGCTGTTGCCGCGGAGCGGGGGGGTGGGGGGGCCAGCTTCCCTCCCGGGTGCGCATCAGTGGCCGAGATCGGGCGGAAGCAAGGGCTAGCTCCGGCGGGCGGGGGTGCTCCCGCGCGACTCCCCGCCGGGAGGGGGGAGGGGCGGCCCTTTTCCGACGCCCCCTCGGCCCCCGGCCCGCATCCCCAGCAGCCAGAGCCAGGCATCCGCCGGTCCCCCCCCCCCCCCCCCCTTCCCCTCCTCCTCCTCCTCTCTGCCCTTCCTCCCCTCTGCCGCATCCGTCCTCCCCCGCCCCTCACAGACGCCCCTCCGACCGACGATGATCCTGCCCAGCGCGCCGCTGGAACACCCAGCGGCCGAGCCGCAGGAGCACTTCTGCCCACTCGCGGCCGCCAGCGGCTTTGTCTCCAACGCCCGGCGCCTGCTGGATGACGCGCTCCTGTCGGCCGATGCCACCCTCCTGGCGGAGACCGCCCTGGCTCTGGCTACCGACGCCGGGGCGGCTGGCGCCGCTGGACCACTGGCCGGGCCACTGGCCGGCAATGCCCGGGTCACTGGCAAGACCTCGGTGCCAGGCGCCACCAGCTGCCCGGCCGCTGCCGCCGGGCGGGCCTGCTTCTGCCCGGCCATCATCGCCTCCGCCGCCCGGGTTGTCTTGGCGCGCGCCGCTCTGGCCGATGGTCAGCTCAGTCGGGCCTTCTTCCTCCTTTGCGTCGGTGCTGAGTACGCGCCTCCGTCCCCCCCCCCCCGCCCATAGACAGATGAGCACATCCGCGCGCAAACCCCCACATGCTAATCCCTTTCCCACTCCCCTCCCCCCCACACACACACACACACCGGATCCCCTGTCGCCTCAGCTCACCGGAGGCGCTCTACCTGCTGGCCACCTGCGCCAAGCGCCTCAATCGCCCGGGTGACTCGTCGGCCGCCCTGAATGTCATCGTTCAGGCCGCCGGCCCCCCTGGCGCCGGTGCCTCCGGCGACGACCCGAAGGCCGCACCCCGGCCCCTGCGCACGGATTTGGTCTTTCGGTCGGACCTCCCGCGCATTGCCCATCTCCTCCGGGCCGACGGGGCCGACACCTGCCGGAGTGCTGTCGACAGTGGCTTCGCCCCGAAGTGGCTCACATACGCCGAGGCGCTGCTTGGGCAATTGCTTTTGTACGTGTGCACATGTGGGTGCAGGTGTATCCACGCCCCCCCCCCC